GTGACTGAAGCTATACTGTTAGTAAGGGGCTGAGTCACGACCAGAACGTAGGTTATGACTTCAATGTTCTTTAGATTTATAGCACGCCACATACTTATTCATGGAAGTATATTACTAACACCTTGGGAAATGGCCAATATAAGCTCTGATACCAACACAGGGGTGAAGAGCTATCACTGAATCAGGTTCCCAACTGTTTCTTCTATGTGCAAGTCTTCCAGGTAATTCTGCTGCTCCCACGCCATACTATCTGTTTCAATGCTGCTTCTATGTGCAAGTCTTCCAGGGAATTCTGCTGCTCCCACGCCATACTATCTGTTTCAATGCTTCTTCTATGCGCAAGTCTTCCAGGTAATTCTGCTGCTCCAACGCCATACTATCTGCTGTAATGCTTCTTCTATGTGCAAGTCTTCCAGGGAATTCTGCTGCTCCCACGCCATACTATCTGTTTCAATACTTCTTCTATGTGCAAGTCTTCCAGGTAATTCTGCTGCTCCCACGCCATACTATCTGCTGTAATGCTTCTTCTATGTGCAAGTCTTCCAGGGAATTCTGCTGCTCCCACGCCATACTATCTGCTGTAATGCTTCTTCTATGTGCAGGTCTTCCAGGTAATTCTGCTGCTCCCACGCCATACTATCTGTTTCAATGCTTCTTCTATGTGCAAGTCTTCCAGGTAATTCTGCTGCTCCCACGCCATACTATCTGCTGTAATGCTTCTTATATGTGCAAGTCTTCCAGGGAATTCTGCTGCTCCCACGCCATACTATCTGCTGTAATGCTTCTTCTATGTGCAAGTCTTCCAGGTAATTCTGCTGCTCCCACGCCATACTATCTGTTTCAATGCTTCTTCTATGTGCAAGTCTTCCAGGTAATTCTGCTGCTCCCACGCCATACTATCTGCTGTAATGCTTCTTCTATGTGCAAGTCTTCCAGGTAATTCTGCTGCTCCCACGCCATACTATCTGTTTCAATACTTCTTCTATGTGCAAGTCTTCCGGGTAATTCTGCTGCTCCCACGCCATACTATCTGTTTAAATGCTTCTTCTATGTGCAAGTCTTCCAGGTAATTCTGCTGCTCCCACGCCATACTATCTGTTTCAATGCTTCTTCTATGTGCAAGTCTTCCAGGTAATTCTGCTGCTCCCACGCCATACTATCTGCTGTAATGCTTCTTCTATGTGCAGGTCTTCCAGGTAATTCTGCTGCTCCCACGCCATACTATCTGTTTCAATGCTTCTTCTATGTGCAAGTCTTCCAGGTAATTCTGCTGCTCCCACGCCATACTATCTGCTGTAATGCTTCTTCTATGTGCAAGTCTTCCAGGTAATTCTGCTGCTCCCACGCCATACTATCTGCTGTAATGCTTCTTCTATGTGCAAGTCTTCCAGGTAATTCTGCTGCTCCCACGCCATACTATCTGTTTCAATGCTTCTTCTATGTGCAGGTCTTCCAGGTAATTCTGCTGCTCCCACGCCATACTATCTGTTTCAATGCTTCTTCTATGTGCAAGTCTTCCAGGTAATTCTGCTGCTCCCACGCCATACTATCTGCTGTAATGCTTCTTCTATGTGCAAGTCTTCCAGGTAATTCTGCTGCTCCCACGCCATACTATCTGTTTCAATGCTTCTTCTATGTGCAAGTCTTCCAGGTAATTCTGCTGCTCCCACGCCATACTATCTGTTTCAATGCTGCTTCTATGTGCAAGTCTTCCAGGTAATTCTGCTGCTCCCACGCCATACTATCTGTTTCAATGCTTCTTCTATGTGCAAGTCTTCCAGGTAATTCTGCTGCTCCCACGCCATACTATCTGTTTCAATGCTTCTTCTATGTGCAAGTCTTCCAGGTAATTCTGCTGCTCCCACGCCATACTATCTGTTTCAATGCTGCTTCTATGTGCAAGTCTTCCAGGTAATTCTGCTGCTCCCACGCCATACTATCTGTTTCAATGCTGCTTCTATGTGCAAGTCTTCCAGGTAATTCTGCTGCTCCCACGCCATACTATCTGTTTCAATGCTGCTTCTATGTGCAAGTCTTCCAGGTAATTCTGCTGCTCCCACGCCATACTATCTGTTTCAATGCTTCTTCTATGTGCAAGTCTTCCAGGTAATTCTGCTGCTCCCACGCCATACTATCTGTTTCAATGCTTCTTCTATGTGCAAGTCTTCCAGGTAATTCTGCTGCTCCCACGCCATACTATCTGTTTCAATGCTTCTTCTATGTGCAAGTCTTCCAGGTAATTCTGCTGCTCCCACGCCATACTATCTGTTTCAATGCTGCTTCTATGTGCAAGTCTTCCAGGTAATTCTGCTGCTCCCACGCCATACTATCTGTTTCAATGCTTCTTCTATGTGCAAGTCTTCCAGGTAATTCTGCTGCTCCCACGCCATACTATCTGTTGCAATGCTTCTTCTATGTGCAAGTCTTCCAGGTAATTCTGCTGCTCCCACGCCATACTATCTGTTTCAATGCTTCTTCTATGTGCAAGTCTCCAGGTAATTCTGCTGCTCCCACGCCATACTATCTGTTTCAATGCTTCTTCTATGTGCAAGTCTTCCAGGTAATTCTGCTGCTCCCACGCCATACTATCTGTTTCAATGCTTCTTCTATGTGCAAGTCTTCCAGGTAATTCTGCTGCTCCCACGCCATACTATCTGTTTCAATGCTTCTTCTATGTGCAAGTCTTCCAGGTAATTCTGCTGCTCCCACGCCATACTATCTGTTTCAATGCTGCTTCTATGTGCAAGTCTTCCAGGTAATTCTGCTGCTCCCACGCCATACTATCTGTTTCAATGCTTCTTCTATGTGCAAGTCTTCCAGGTAATTCTGCTGCTCCCACGCCATACTATCTGTTTCAATGCTTCTTCTATGTGCAAGTCTTCCAGGTAATTCTGCTGCTCCCACGCCATACTATCTGTTTCAATGCTTCTTCTATGTGCAAGTCTTCCAGGTAATTCTGCTGCTCCCACGCCATACTATCTGTTTCAATGCTTCTTCTATGTGCAAGTCTTCCAGGTAATTCTGCTGCTCCCACGCCATACTATCTGTTTCAATGCTTCTTCTATGTGCAAGTCTTCCAGGTAATTCTGCTGCTCCCACGCCATACTATCTGTTTCAATGCTTCTTCTATGTGCAAGTCTTCCAGGTAATTCTGCTGCTCCCACGCCATACTATGTGTTTCAATGCTTCTTCTATGTGCAAGTCTTCCAGGGAATTCTGCTGCTCCCACGCCATACTATCTGTTTCAATGCTTCTTCTATGTGCAAGTCTTCCAGGTAATTCTGCTGCTCCCACGCCATACTATCTGTTTCAATGCTTCTTCTATGTGCAAGTCTTCCAGGTAATTCTGCTGCTCCCACGCCATACTATCTGTTTCAATGCTGCTTCTATGTGCAAGTCTTCCAGGTAATTCTGCTGCTCCCATGCCATACTATCTGCTGTAATGCTTCTTCTATGTGCAAGTCTTCCAGGTAATTCTGCTGCTCCCACGCCATACTATCTGTTTCAATGCTTCTTCTATGTGCAAGTCTTCCAGGTAATTCTGCTGCTCCCACGCCATACTATCTGCTGTAATGCTTCTTCTATGTGCAAGTCTTCCAGGTAATTCTGCTGCTCCCACGCCATACTATCTGCTGTAATGCAAGAAGTTATTTTCAGTTTAATTTTCGAGACACTTAGGCAGAGTCTGGTCTGCCTTTTGCCATTGCATTTTTGTTTCATTATTTATTTGTTGAGACAGGGTCTTGCTCTGTCACCCAGGCTGGAGTACAGGAGGCGTGACCTCAGCTCACTGCAAGCATTGCCCCCCGCCCCCCACCGCCAGGCCCAAGCAATCTTCCTACCTCAGCCTCTCCAGTAGCTGGGACCACAGGTGCACACCACCATGCCTGGCTATTTTTTTGTATTTTTAGTAGAGATGGAGTTCTGCATGTTGCCCAGGCTGGTCTCAAACTCCTGAGCTCAAGCAATTTGCCCACCCCAGCCTCACAAAATGCTGGGATTACAGGTGTGAACCACTGCACCTGGCCTATTTGTGTGTGTGTGTGTGACAGGTTCTTGCTCTGTTGACCAGCCTGGAGTGCAGTGATGCAATCACAGCTCACTGCAGCCTCAACCTCCCCAGGCTCAGGTGATCCTCCCACCTCACCTCAGCCTCCCAAGTAGCTGGGACTACAGACGTGCACCACCACACCTGGCTAACTTTTTGTAGATTTGGTGTCTCGCTATATTGCCCAGGCTGGTCTCAAACTCCTAGGCTCAAGCGATCTACCCACCATGCCCTCCCAAAGTGCTGGGATTACAGGCATGAGCCACTGCACCTGGCCTGCTTCATTGTTTATGATGATGAAAGGAGAGTGGTGGTGGAGGATAAGGATGGGCATTCCCAGGAAAGAACAAAAGGTTTTCTAAAACCTTGCCTTCCGCCACACCTGACTGCACAAGAGACTGCTGCTCACAGTGGATGGCCAGAGCGTCAGATCATGCTTTGCGTGTATCATAGTTCAGGCCCTGAAAGCAAACCCATTAGGCGTCCATAGGATCTGGAGTTAAGGGTAAGTCAGGGTCAAAGTTATCACAACAGCAGGGCTAAAGCCTGAAAACCAACGATGAGGTGGCAGCGGAGATGTGGACTGGGTGGTCAGACTGTACAGAGAGATGCAGGCTCCGAATGTCACCATGAGGTGACTGCTTTCTGCCTGAGGTTCTTTCTGAAACTTGCAGATTTGTACCTTTACTGATGTTTTCAGTGGGAGAAAATAATTTTCACAGGTCTCAGTATTTTCTGAAGGGCAGATTAAATTTTCCCTGCAAATATCTTATCCCTAGACTTATAAAAATTCTGAAAATACTCAATATAAACAGCCACTATGACAAGGACTTTAGGATTCATATATCACAAAAGACAGGCAGACGGACAGAAAGAAAGAAGAAAACAGAAAACCATGGTAGGTGCACAATAAGCATGTGTTGACTCAATGAATATAGTTTTGACCACAGAATTAAAAAGACTTTTCACTTCATATTTATTATCAGTGCTTCAGTGTAGAATGTTCTGTAACGATTAGCAACGTTGTAAACACCACCAGTTTTTTCCAACTGTAAGCGCCAGTCTTTTCTGGGAAATATTGATTTTCCCAAGACAAAATAACAAAACCTAACACAAGTTCAAGAGATGTGATACCATCAGCATAATAACCCAAATTATAAAAATGGCAGTACTTAAAATCATGCATATTATTTCACCATTTCATAAAACTTATTTGAAAATTTCTACAAACTTTCCCAGTGTAAAAGACTCCTCAAAAACTGCATGGTAACATTGATCTACAAAATTCACTTTGGAAAAGTAGGGAGCTATTTTTCTAATTTTGGCTTTAAGATTTATTTTTTTTTTTGGAGACGGAGTCTCACTGTCTCCAGGCTGGAATGCAATGGCGCGATCTCGGCTCACCGCGTCCTCTGCCTCCTGGGTTCAGGCAATTCTCCTACCTCAGCCTCCCGAGTAGCTGGGACTACAGGCGCGCGCCACCATGCCCAGCTAATTTTTTGTATTTTTAGTAGAGACGAGGTTTCACCATGTTGGCCAGGATGGTCTCAATCTCTTGACCTCGTGATCCGCCCGCCTTGGCCTCCCAAAGTGCTGGGATTACAGGTGTGAGCCACCATGCCTGGCCAGAATTTTTTTTAATGTGTTAAAAGATAGGGTGAGGAGTGTGTTGAGAGAGGTGGAGAAAAAAGAGCTTCCAGTTGATGCATTCACCATGTCTGAAAATACTTCAGTTATACAAAGGGAACACTTCGAGAGTATGGATATATTATAAATAAGTCTTTCAGCAAGATGAACAGATGAGCAGTTCAATTGCACCCACAGGACAGAGGTCTTCTTGGAGAATGCCTGTTTATAGAATCTTCTGTAAAATAGAGTTGGCCACTTCCAGTGATTCATCTTGTACTAAAACAATATCGTAAGAGTCCATGTACTTTTCTAAAAGCTCATCCACCTAATCAAGAGAACAAAAGAAAATTAACATGCTGGGTGAAGAAGCAAGTAATTTCAAAATGCATCTCATGTCACACCTCTTGGTCAAGATGCAATAAATTAAACTCACTTTCAAAAAAATTTTTGAAATGAAGAAATATTTTCAAACTCTTAAAGACACACTGACAGACATTTTTCCACACGGTAGCTTTTCTCCCCAAAATACTCGCTCCAGTCCAGTGGTTTTCAACTGGGGTGATTTTGTCCAGAGAACATTTGGCAATGTCTAAGGGACATTTCTTAGTCTCGGCAGGGGACTGCTATCCAGCACCTACTGGGTAAAAGACACAGAGGCCTCCTGTAGAATACACATCCTCCCTTCTCCCAGTACCTGTAGCACGCATATCAACTCCTTTAAACATATATCAACTCCTTTAAACATCGCCAGTGTAGAAGAGTAAAGAGCAGTCAAAATGCACGATCAAAACCATGCTTTGGCTGGGCACAGTAGCTCACGCCTGTTATACCAGCACTTTGAGTGGCCTAGAGGATCACCTGAGCCCAGGAGTTTAAGAACAGCTTGGGCAACACAGGGTGACCTCATCTCTACAAAAATTCAAAAATTAGCCAGGTATAGTGGTATGTGCCAGTAGTTCCAGCTACTTGAGGGGCTGAGGTGGGAGGATTATTTGAGCCAGAAGGTGGAGGCTGCAGTGAGATGTGATTGCATTACTACACTCCAGCCTTGGTAACAGGCTTGTCTTAACAAAAACGTCTCTAAAATAACTACTTTCTCAGGTGACCACGGCAACAATCGCCTATCATGCTTCATCCTAACTTTTTCTTAGCAGAAAATTAAATTACAGATTTGAATACTTACTCTATCATTCAGATATCCAATTTTCAGAATGTGCTCAACATTGGCCACTCCATCTGCCATTCTTAAGTCTCCTTGAGAGTCTCCCAGAAGAATTATGTTACTATTGTCTTTTAGTTGATTGAAATATTCTGTATTCCGCAAGGCACCATCATGTTTGTTAAATACATGAATTAGTTCTCCTTTAAATCCTTTGAGCACTCCCTATGAAAAATATAAATCTTTTGAAATACTAGGTTTTAAAAATCCCATTTGTTGGATTTTCATATTTTGGAGCTCTTAATTGATGTCACTATTATTTCAGGATATTTGTAAACTTATCTTTAATACTAGAGATCTCAAAGCACTTAAGTCCATCACATTTACCATAGCTAAGAAGGGCTCGGAGACGTAAATAATTTTTTAGAGACCATTTTAAATGGTAAAACAAGAGCCTGGCGCAGTGGCTCAAGCCTGTAACCCCAGCATTTTGGGAGGCCAAGGAGGGCAGATCAGTTGAGGTCAGACTGGCTAATATGGTGCAACTCCATCTCACTAAAATATAAAAATTAGCCAGGTGTGGTGACACAGGCCTGTGTAGTCCCAGATACTCAGGAGGATGAGGCAGGAGAATTGCCTGAACCTGGGAGGTGGAAGTTGCAGTAAGCAAAGATTGCGCCACTGCACTCCAGCCTGGGTGACAGAGTGAGACTCTGTCTCAAGAAAAAAAGGCTGGGTGCAGTGGCTCATGCCTATAATCCCAGCATTTTGAGAGGCTAAGGTGGGCGGATCATGAGGTCAAGAGATTGAGACCATCCTGGCCAACATGGTGAAACCCCAACTCTATTAAAAACACGAAAATTAGCTGGGCATGGTGACATGCGCCTATAATCCCAGCTACTTGGGAGGCTGCGGTGCCACCGCACTCCAGCCTGGCGACACAGTGAGACTCTGTCTCAAATAAACAAAAAGTTTTACTACTTTTATTATTAGTCCATATCTTGTGGAATGAAAGTTTAAGAAGGGCACATTGTTTTTTTGTTTTTTTTTTTTAAGAGACAGGGTTTCACCATGTTGGTCAGGCTGGTCTCGAACTCCTAACCCCAGGTGATCCACCTGCTCCCAGCCAATGTTTCTAAAATATGGATATATTAACACTGAGAAGGATGGAGTCCCATAGTAGGCCTATCCACTTGGCGTAACTTAATGGATATATATTAAATAAAAACAAATAAATTTATATGATTAAAATATTTTCAGATTCTAAAATTATGAAGAATGATTTGATATTCTTACAGTTTCATCAAAATCCATAAAATTGGAGACAACTTTGACATTTGGATGATAGACGCCAGCCTGACGGATAACCTCCTCTAGGACATCACCGATTCCAGCCGAAAATATGAACACGGGAATACTATGTTGTTGGAGCTTATCAAAGAAATTCTCATACCCTTCCCTGCAAGATGGAGATAACAAACTGATTATCAAAGGGCAAGACAGAGTTCCTTTTCACTTAGCAGCTGAAACAGTGAACTATTCCTAGTAATTCTATGGCTCACTTATATCCACATTTCAAAATACTGCCCGAGATGGGCAACAACACTCTTAAGTTTTTCAAACAACAGTTAACTCTTTACCTTCCTTTTAATCAATTCTAATACTGCAAACTAGATGTCTTTAAGCTTTCATTGAATATGAATATAAACCTACAGTTCACAATTTATACCATTTAAAAAGACATGGGCAGGCATAGCAGTGCATGCCCTATAGTCCCAGCTACTTGGGAGGTTAAGGCTTGAGGAGTGCTTGAGTCCACGAGCTCTGGTCTAGTCTTGGCAACATAGTGATACCCTGTCTCTAAAATAAAATTTAAAAAGAGAAAACAATAGTTAAGCCACACCTTGGAAAACCCACTTAAGATGGGGTGGAAGGCTGACTGCTGCCATTGTCAGAAAAGCAGGGTGGCAGGAACTTAGCTGTATTCTCGACATGTGGCATGTCTCTTTACTAAGATCTTAAGCCCTCTTCCCCTTTTTACCCTTCCTGGGCTACAGGTTAAATAAAGCTGTTGTTGCCTACTAAGGAATGAAACACTTAGTAGCCGTCCTCACACTTTTTGATAATTTATTGCTTTCCTTTTTAGAAATAATCACCTTAAAATACAATATCATTATAAAAAAGTAACATCATCATATTTGCCTAACAAGCTGAAAATTTTAGGAGGTAATAAAAAGTATTGAAAAGCCACTTGTATCTTATAACTCATGCATACATATATAATTATATGCTAAAACATACTAATCTTTCCTAGAAATAGTTTCCAAACAAGTTAGAGAATTTAAAAAGTAGACGCATGTAAATTTAGACACAGTATACTGCCAGGTGTGGTGGCTCACACATGTAATCCCAGCACTTTGGGATCCCTTGAGCCCAGGAGTTCAAGACCAGCTTGGGCAACATGGTAAAATCCCATCTTTACAAAAAAAATACAAACATTAGCCAGGCATGGTGGAGCAGGCCTGTAGTCTCAGCTACTTGAGAGGCTGAGGCAAGGGGATCGCTTTAGCCCAGGAGGCAGAGGCTGGAGTGAGATAAGACTGATTATGTCACTACATTCTAGCTTGGACAACAGAGAGAGAGACCCTGTCTTCAAAAAGAAAAAAAGTATACTTGTATACTTAAATCCCTTTCAACTTGATTTTTACATTCCTTTCATATTATATGTCTTTCTTAAGTATTTTACTACAAAATTTTTAAATGGTCTTGGTTCAAAAATTTATAAGTCTTGACATTTTTAATCTGGAGAAAGAAAATACAAATTAGAATTTAAATCTCACAAGGCTCTTATGACCTACACCAAGATCTAATATGTCATTCTAAATTCCTTATCTAACCACTACGTATTTTGGGATAGGTGGCATGTTTTGGAAATGTTTATATATGGACTATTCAACGTCTTATTGTAAAGAAGTACAACTGACTATATATATATATAAAATAATCCAAGGCTGTGAACGGTTAACAGCAAAAACACCCAGGAAACTTACTTGAGCATAACGTCAGATTCTGCCACAATTTCTTTAAGCTTAGCTTTTGGTAGAGCTTGTTCAACAAGCAAACCATGTGATTTAGTATACCTGGAGTTTATGACCAAAGAAAAAGAGTATCTTTATTACAAAGGAAATCTGTTCATCATATTTGGATTTAAATTTTAGAGGTTTAAGTTCGTCATTAATGAATGTATACTTCCTGTCTCAAAAGGTGATACGCACGTTCTAACTGAGTTTCCCAGTCCTCCCAAACCCAGACTAGCTTAAATACGTTAGTAAGGTCATGAGAGGAAACTAGCTATAAACCTTTCCTAATTCTACAGATAAAAACTCAGTGGAGGCATAATCCTTTCTCTGACTGCAATAAGAAGAATTAGAGCAAACCCATTTTATAAATGTTTGTATTTTGAATTTTCATGAAATGCCTGCATACTGAAGATGCTATTTAGTGAGCAGGAGAGAAAATCTTTGTTATGGCAAGTGTAACATATAGATTAGCCTGCTTTATAATTATGTAAAAAAAACACCTGTAATCATAGCATCTCAGCATAAAGGGCCTTCAGACTAACTCTCACCCATTATAATTATGCAAATAACCACTAAAAAAGAAAGAAAGAAAGAAAAGGGGAAAAAAAGCTTAATTCTTTATCTGATACCTAAAAATACCCCTATAATATTCCCAAGTCGCCCTCTTCTCTGCCTGGGTCAGCTTCTATCATTCTCCCAGGGAAGCTTATCCCATTGCCAGAAAACTCTAATGACCGCTTTTCTTTCTCATGCTGAATTCAGTCTTCTTATATCTTCCAAGTCTAGTTTCAGTTCTGCTGCTACAGGTGTGTAGAGTTAAGTCTAATATCTTTTCAACATTTAATACCATAAATACAGATGAAGTATGTACACTGTCAGGTAACAGACAATAAAGACATATCATTCCTTGTCTTCTAAGATTTTAAAAGAAGTTGTTGCTTCTTATATCAAAGCATTTTCTATTTCTTGAAATGTTCCTCAAGTGGGAAGGCTCAGATTCCTCTGACCATTCTGGTGGACTCCTCTGACTCCTTTAAGTTTGTCACTGTCTGTTTTTTGGTCACTGTTGTCATGGTTTCTCTTAACAGCATTCTTCCAGAACCCAACACAATGCTTTCAGTGTGGTCTGCTTGGAACACTGCATTTTGATTAATGCAACCAAAGGTCAATTTTTGGGTGACCATATCACCTGCTGGTTCTGAGTTCAGAGTCAGTTTATATCCTCATACCTTTTCTTTACACATTAAACCACATCTTGTCCATATACCTAAAAAAAAATTCTTATTTTTAATTTGAGACTTAAATGCAGAACTTTTAATTTATTCCTACTGGACTTCACCTTAACGAAACAAAACAAAAATATTCCTAAACTGTTAGAGGGATTCAATAATTCGAGCTCATTTTGTTATTCAATGCTCCAACTTACAGAATTTATTAATGTTTATTTACAATACAGTTAAAAAAATAAGCCATCAGTTGTAACTGTAGTGTGTTTCATTATTTTTAAAAAACCCCTCTACTGCCTAATATGCACTTACCATTCCACCATGTAAGGGTACTTCTCTTCTACAGTAAGAACAGGATCAACTTCAATCGCATAATATTTTTCCTTTAGTTGCAACAGCTAGGAAGAAAGGAATAACTTAATCATGAAGATTACAGAGTAGTCATTAAATCTGCTTGGTTTTATTTAAAGCAAAACAATGTAAACAAGTTTCTTCACAAACTAAGTTGAGCTACTGCATCAACTGAAAAAATATTTGTTGATCTTGGTTGACAAGTAATCAAATATACCTGCAAAAAGCTACATTTCTTTTGCCAAGCACCTTCAGGTGGGTAACAACCACCTGACAATAACATGATGAGTACAAAAACATTTAGTTTTCATATAAAGGTATTATACTTGATTTGCATTTCAGACTGCATTTGTTAAGATATACACAGACATGTACTCAAGCAAAATACTGAAGCAACTTCCTTATCAACCTAAAGGAGTAAAACCTACAGAAAACCAAAATACTTTTGTTCTAATTCTCCGGTCAACGTAACACCACCAGAGTCCTTTGGCAATCAAGGAGTTTTAAATCTATGTTTTGTTGTTAAAAGTTACTGTTAATTTTTATCTTTAAAATACATTTTGAATGTGTAATTCATACAGTAAACCTACTATTTACTGGGTGCTTACTACGTGCCAGGTCAGCTGTAAGCACTGTACATCCATTCTTATTTGTGTGAATGCACCTGAAGAAACTCTCAGGCAAAGAGGGTAATGAGGTCTCTGAGTGATTATGGATTATTGCTAGTGTTTACCTTTTTTCTACATTCATCTGTAACCAGCTTACAGTTGTCAATGATATCTAAAGATAGAAAGCAATGTAAGTATTAAAAGAAATACTCTGATTGATGTTACTACTACTATGAATAATTTGCTACAAAGTAATGGCAAAAGACTCAATTACTTTTATACCAACCCAACACTTTAAGTAATGCCAAATCAACTAACATGTTATTATAACTTTTGGTCCCAGTGGTAAAGTTCAGATGACACTGTTAGAGAAGCTAATGGTTTAGAACCTGTGATGTAGTGACTGCTTGCTTACGTCACTGAGCTGGACAATTCAATACTTTAAACACTATGAACTGTGTATTGATCACTTCCACTTTCTCCTTTTAATAGAAGAAATATATATGGGAAATATATATTTTTCTTAATAAAAAGATAATAAATGCTTAATGTAAACATCTGGAAAATGCAGACCACTGTCAAGAAGAAAACAAAAATAGAATGGTAAGAAGTTTTACCATTCAGTAATAAGTTACTAACAATATTTTAGTATATTTCCTTTCAGTCTTAAGACTGCATGTATACCATTTAGATAAGAGATCACACCAAATCTGTAATTTTGAATTCTTTCTTTTTCATTTCACATTGTAGTCTGCATTTTTCCATGTAATTAAAATTTCTGGTATGTGAGCAGAAAAGAATTTATATCATTTCTGCAGCATTAAACTTTTTAGGTAGCTTCCAAGCATCTGCTATTAGTAATCTCATGTTGAGCTTAGTCACCATTATTTTTGTGAACAAAGCTTTTTTAAAAACTGCATTTTGGGTTGTTTACTTAGAAATTCTGCAAAGAGGAATTAATAGGGCAAAGGATCTGAAGATTTTTAGTGGTGGGTTTTTTGTCATCCAGGCTGAAGTGCAGTGTGATCATGGTGTGATAATGGCTTACTATAGACTTGACCTCCTAGGCGCAAGGATCCTCTCAGCCTCCCAGGTAAGTAGCTGGGACCACAGGCATGCCACAATGCCCAGCTAATTTTTTATTTTTTTGGTAAGAAAAGGTCTTATTATGATGCTCAGGTTGGTCTCAAACTCCTGGGCTCAAGTGATTTTCCCACCTCTGCCTCCCAAAGTGCTGGGATTACAGGCATGAGTCACTATGCCTGGCAATTTTTAGCAGTTTTTAAAAATTATTAAGATAATTTTTCTTTTCTTTTTTTTTTTTTGAGATGAAGTGTCACTCTGTTGCCCAGGCAATCTTGGCTCACTGCAACTTCTGCCTCTTGGGTTCAAGGGATTCTGTTCTCCTGCCTCAGCCTCCCAGGTAGCTGGGATTACAGGTGCCTGCCACCACATCCAACACATTTTCGTATTTTTAGTAGAGACAAGGTTTCACTATTTTGGCCAGGCTGGTCTTGAACTCCTGACCTCAGATGATCTGCCCACCTCAGCTTCCCAAAGTGCTGAGATTACAGGCAAAAGCCACCATACCTGGCCCCAAGAAAGTTTTTCAATTTACAATGTATTAAAAGTAAATGAAAGAAAAAAAGTAAATGGGAGAGTTCATTCACCATTTCCCTGTCAGGTTAAAGAGTGTTATTTAAAAACTCACAGCCAAGTTGTAAAACAAAAGAGACATTAAAATTTGGTAATATTCCTAGGAAACAAGAGTATTTGATAAATGCTGTTTTGTCAGGTTAACCCAAAGTTTACAACCTATTTAAATATTTCTTGAATAATCAACAGACCATATTTGCCAAGAAATATTTCAGAAGTCTCTGATTCCCTTTGCTACCAAAACCATACATGAAAATAACCATTTATATAATATGGGATAAAACAAAACCTCAGAAATATAGTTAGAAAAAGCAGTTCTCCTCACTGTCAATGTCCAAAATGAAATGTAAACACCCAGTTATCTCACAGGTAATATAGATAGAGGATCTTAAAATAATGACATGCTTTTGTGAATTTGTTTACGACACCACACTCACTATGACACGTTGGGCATCTTTTGCCTTTGTATGAAAATCTACTGAGTGTCATATCAAAGTCCGTTATTATCTGTAAGAAAAGAGTGAAAGGCATTATTGTAAACATGGCCCATACGGGCAGAATTTCTCTGTGCTACCCAAACACATACTGCATGCTTTCCTAGATGCACAGGACTGTGCTCAGTCTCTGGTCCCCACGGTTAAGTTATTCTTTTTTTTTTCTTATTTTTGAAACGGAGTCTTGCTCTTGTTGCCCAGGCTAGAGTGCAGTGGGGCAATCTCGGCTCACCGCAACCTCCGCCTCCCGGATTCAAGTGATTCTCTTGTCTCAGTCTCCTGAGTAGCTGGGCGCCCGCCAACCCACCCAGCTAATTTTTTGTATTTTTAGTAGAGACGGGGTTTCACTATGTTGGTCAGGCTAGTCTCAAACTCCTGACCTCAGGTGATCCACCCGCCTCAGCCTTCCAAAGTGGCTGGGATTATTACAGGCGTGAGCCACTGCGTCCAGCAAGTTATTCTTTTACATTGATTTTTCTCATGTGGTTCATTTATAAAATCCTGAGAATAATCTTAACTACAAGGTGCTACCTTGAGTGCCCTAGCATTGTCACTAAATAAATCTGATTAGTAATTCAGCCATAAAAAGCAAGGAGATGCTGTCACTTGCAGCAACATGGGTGAGCCTGGAGGTCATTACCTTAAGTGAAATAAGCCAGGCACAGAAAGACAAATATTACATGTTCTTACTCATATGTGAAAGCTAAAAAAGTTGGTATCATGGAGGTAGAGAGTAGAAAGATGTTTACCAGAGGCTGGGAAGGGTGGGAAGGCTGGGAGATAAAGAACAGTTGGTCATGAAAATACTGCTAGAAGGATTAAGTTCTAGTGTTTACACAGTGGGATGACTAAACAGTATTTTACTGTATATTTCAAAATAGCCAGAAGAAAAGATTTAGAATGTTTCCAAAACGAAGAATAAATATTAGAAGTGGCAGATATCCTAATTACCCTGATTTGATTATTATACTTTTTATGTACATTTTAAAATATCACATGTATCCCATATATATATACAGTTATTATGTATCAACTTTAAAAATTGAAAAAATCCAGCTGGGTACAGTGGCTCATGCCTGTAATCCCAGCACTTTGGGAGGCCAAGGTGGGTGAATCACTTGAGGTCAGGAGTTTGAGACCAGCCTGGCCAATATGGTGAAACCTCATCTCTACTAAAAATACAAAAATAGCCAGGTGTGATGGCACGTGCCTGTAATTCCAGCTACTCAGGAGGCTGAGGCAGGAGAATTACTTGAGTCCGGGAGGTGAAAGTTGCAGTGAGCCGAGATCGTGCCACTGCATTCCAACCTGGGTGACACAGTGAGACTCTGTCTCGAAAAAATAAAATAAATTTAAAAATCGAATTAATCGGTATGGTATGGGAATTGGCAACTGCAGGTGATGCGGTTACTCTTCTCACTACAGAAAACACTTTAATTTCCACCAACTTGGTCAATGCACAAAAATACAGTGAAAGCAATTCAACCATATGAAGCTCTTAGTTACTGATACTGTTACATGCTGGATTTCACTTGCTTATTTAAGGTAAACCATACCAATGAATGAATGCGCATTGGAATAGCTGGCCAGGTGTTGAAACATAGGAGACTGGATTAAATATTATTTTTCAGAAATGTTTAAAAAAAACAGTAACTTTTACAGAATATCCATATTATTGATTTAATTTACATATAACACATTCCTTTAAAACAGAGACAACTGTTTAAAAACTTGATTATGCCCTTAATAAGGTTACATCTTAATATGAACTACTATAATTGATTAAAACATGAAAGAGCAACTTGCCACTATACACTTTTAATATTATCCTTAAAATGGTTTAATACTTGTACGCAGCATGAGTTAGGTTAGTACTTAAGACTAATAAAAACTGACATTTATTTCAGGATTATTAATTTTTGTTTTTCTAATAGGGTATTCCATTTTAGAACAACTCAAGATATATTTTTTTGGATTTTATATTCTTAAAGGATAGGCAAAAACTATTTAACTAAACTTGCTGTACTCAGATTTTATCAAACAAGATGAATGAGTCTGCTTTAACATTAAAAATAAAATAAGGCTGGGCCATGATGACTCACATCTGTAATCCCAGCACTTTGGGAGGCCGAGGTGGGTGGATCACTTGAGGCTAGGAGTTTGAGACCAGCCTGGCCAACATGGTGAAACTCTGTCTCTACTAAAAATGCCAAATTAGCTGGGGCTCCAGAGGCTGAGGCAGGAAAATTGCTTGAACTGTGAGGTGGAGGTTGCAGTGAGCCGAGATTGTGCCACTGCACTCCAGCCTCAAAAAACGATTAGCTGGGTGTGGGGCTGGCACCTGTAATCCCAGGTGCTTGGGAGTCTGAGTCATGAGAATTGCTTGAACCAGGGAGGAGCAGGTTGCAGTAAGCCAAGATTGTGCTACTGCACTCCAGCATGGGTAACAAGGCAAGACTCCATCTCAAGAAAAAAACAAACAAAAAAACCCCAGCATTTAAAGCCTTTATTATTAAGCTTTTATTTTATTTTTGGAGTGCAGTGGTGTGTTCTCAGCTCACTGCAACCTCCGCCTCCTGGGATTAAGTGACCTGCCTGCCTCTGCCTTCCAAGCAGCTGAGATTACAGGCACGTGCCACCATGTCCAGCTAATTTTTGTATTTTTAGTAGAGACAGGGTTTCACCATGTTCGCCAGATTGGTCTCAAACTCCTGACCTCGTGATCTGCCCACGATGGCCTCCCAAAGTGCTGGATTACAGGCATGAGCCACTGTGCCAAGCCCTTTTTTAAACAGAAAAGGGATCTCATTATGTTGTCCAGGCTGGTCTCAAACTCCTGGGCTCAAGCGGTCCTCCTGCTTCAGTGTCCCAAAATTCTGGGATTACAGGCATGAGCCACCATGCACAGCCAAGGCTTCTTGATCATTATTCACCTGAAGTTTGGCAGCTCCACCTTTGATGAGACCACAGATAATTTCTTCTACTCTGGTAGGGTTCTTGATTCGAACTGAACTTTTCTGGAATTCTGGCATCTAAAAAGTAAAAGAAAATTAATTAATTAGTTTTCATTCTTCCTTCCCCAGGTTCCTTTAATACCAAGCAGAAGCTTGTGTTATTTAAAGACATAAAAATGTTAAGGCATTATTTTTAAAGAGCAAGACACCACATCAAATTACCATTTATTTATTTTATTACTACTTTTATAGAGACATGGCCTTTTTTTGTCACCCGGGCGGGAGTGCAGTGGCACAATTCTAGCTCACTATTGTCTCAAACTCCTGGGCTCAAATGGTCCTCCCATCTCAGCCTACTGACTAGGTAGAAGGCATGTGCCATCCTACCCAGCTAATTTTAAAAATTTTTTGTAGAGGTGAGTGAGGTCTTGCTGTGTTGCTCACGCTGGTCTTGAACTCCTGGCCCCAAGCAATCCTCCCATCTTGGCTTCCAAAGTCCTGGGATTAAAAGTGTGGGACACGAAGCCCAGCTCCCACAGTACCGTTTATACACACAAAAATATTTAAAGCGTATCGGTATTTTCCAGCTGCAGAGTAAGACAAAACTACATTTGTAATTCAATTACTTTATCAGAAAGTATATATTTTTTCCAATTATAAAAGCAACCCATGCACACCACAGAAATAACAGTAAAAATACAAAAAAGAAAATAAAAATTGCCTGGAATTCAACTACTTGAAGATAAACAAGTAACATTTAAACTTATTTCTATTAGTTTCATTTCTGTGATTTTTCTATTACTTTCATTTCTGGGTTGAGATGCAACCCAGTGGGAGCCCAGAAATCACATTTTAACCATGAATACCCCACAGCTACCCCTTGATTGATAGACTTTTTCTAAAAATCTTAAGACCACCCCCTCATAAAGCCTCCACTTTATATAAGTACAATAACCAAACTTCCACCCTAATACTAATATAATACTTTGAGCATATCCCTCTGAAACATGCATATATATGCACATAGTTTTAGCTCATTCTCATTATATACTTTTGCATCTTGCTTTTAAGAATTAATACATACATTTAGCTTGCTTACATATTTATATTTTAAAATGTTCCTGAGCAGAAAGGAAACAATTTTCATGATTATTCCACCAAAAATTTATCTTTGTACAGATAATTAAAATATATTTTAAATATTTTAAATTTGAAAAGCTGCTTCAAGATCTTTGCTCTTTTTTATTGTACTGTTTCCCAAATAATATAGTATTCTTGGCAAACATTTTACAATAGATTTATTCCAAATTGGGATAACTGCCAAAACTGTGGTACCAGGCACAGTGGCACATGCCTGTAATCCCAGCTACTTGGGAAGCTGAGGTAGGATCACTAGAGCCCAGGAGTTTGAGACCAGCCTGGGAAACACAGCAAGACCCATCTAAAAAAATGGGCTTAGGCTGCTACTTAACGAGTTATGAAGACTTTACGGTTGCTCAACAATTTAATCTTAGGTATTATTTCTTGTTGCTAGCCACTTTATCACAAGTAGAATCAAACTGATTGGATGAAAGACCTACCAACTACAATACACTTAATATTTAAAAGCCATATTTAAGTAGGATGACCTGCAATGCAGCTAATCTTGATGTAGTGACCCTTTTAACTTAACTGGATGAGCTTCAATGGATTAAAGGTTATCCATGTATTTTATAGTGATTTTTCAATAGATGGAAAGGCAGATAGGCAATGGTTCCTTCATTCCTTTTTTCATTCATTAACCCATTCACTTGCCTAACCGATATTTACCTTGTGTCTACTTTGTGCCACACACTCCTGCTAGATGCTGGGGATATGATGATGAACAGTACTTACTCTTCGGCTGAGTTTCAGGGACCACTGCTATTTTGCAATATCACTTCTGTAGCTCCCTTACAAATACCTCAGCTAGTAAGTTTATCTCTTGACAACTAATTTCTGTTTTTACTTCAGTCTTAACTGGCAGATGCACAGCAATCAGTATAAGTTTGATTTAATAACCAATCCATTATGGTGAAAGCAACACAGGATATATATCATTGACTATTTTTTTCACCAAAAAAATTAAATATTCTATTTCGGTGTACCCATACTAAGATGTCTTGCCTCAGACAAATCACATCTTCAAGTTTGCGATAGTGAATAGGAGAATAACACCCAGACTGCTTCAAAGAAGGCTGGTTTCTGCTACACTAATAAATATAAGATTGGTTTATTTTATTTTTATAGAGATAAGGTCTTGCTACGTTGCCCAGGCTGGTCTTGAACTCCTGGGTTCAAGCGATCTCCCTGCTTCGGCCTCCCAAAGTGCTGGGATTACAGGTGTGAGCCACCATGCCCACTCAATACTGGTTTACTTTAAGTCACAATGGACGAAAGTGAACCGGTAGCTAAAAGCATTGGTGGCTCCTGCACAACATATAATCATTCATTTTCAGATAAATAAGCAGTGATTACCCAAACGGCACAGAGTAAAATAATGATGAAATAGGTATAAGAAATACAAAAATGATCTATCTTGGGTTATACAGTACACTATACTCCTCTCCTGCAATACACAACCTATGTCACTGATCTATATGAGAAATTCTTCACGAGAACTTGAGATATTGGATATTTTACTCAGATACTTTATAATATAGCCTAAGAAGGAGAATCAAAGACTCCTCTATAAGAGTACATCAGCACGCTGTAGAAGCATGATGAAATACATCACATACCTCTGTTGTTGCTACACATCCCCCAGCTGTTGAACGAGATCATCTACTTTTGTTACCTCCACAAAGTCCTTCCTTCTATATCCCTCTTAGAAAAAAACAGACCTGGTTTGTGGCACATAAATAACGAGACTTCAAATTTGAAGGGCAAGTTATTTAGAACTGTCTGAAAAATTTTCAATTTATGATACAATTTTATGAAAAAGAAACTAAAAATTTCCATCATTTGTGATAAAAAGAAAACAAATTCATTTGACAGTAAAGCCATAGTGTAAAACGTCGGGGAGGGAGCAATGCCTTCCTGAAAAGAATCAGGGTATGTTGGTCGATTGGTGCCAAATCCGAATCAACATCAAAAATGATTACGATAATAAATGTATCGTGACCAATACTTAACATATTTATACAGATGAAACGGATTTCAAAGTTATGCCATTTTATCCACAACTCAATTGCAATATTAGATTATTTGATATTATCTTGTAGATACACTGGGATAAGATAAAAATGAGAAGCTCCATAGTATAGTTACCAAATTTCTGGGTGTGGCTTTATATCATCAATCCAATGATTATGTCCCAGACTAAAGATAATCCGAATTCCCAGGATGAGACTATGACAACTTCCAAATTTAATTCAGTTTAAACTAGATTTCCAATTATATTAAATTTTGATTAAAAAGAAAACATGGCCAGACATGGCGGCTCATGCCTGTAATCCCAGCATTTTAGGAGCCTGAGGCAGTCGGATCACTTAAGATCAGGAGTTTGAGACCGGGTTGGGTCTGTCTCTACAAAAAAATATAAAAATTAGCCAGGCACAGTGGTGCACAACTGTAGTCCCAGCTACTCGGAGGCTAAGGTGGGAGGGCGGCCTGAGCCCAGGAGGCAGAGGTTGCAGTGAGTCAAGATTACACCACTGCACTACAGCCTGGCTGACAGAGTGCAATCCTGTCTCAATAAACAAATAAATACAAAGATTTTGTATCACACACACACACACACACACACACACACACAAATACATTCTATTTAGAATAATGAATTATTATTCTTACATTAAAAATAAAAAACAAAATAAACCAAGGATTAGTATAATCCACAATGTACAGAGAATACAATATTTTAACCAAGACTAAAAAATTACCTGTACTTTTAATTTATAAATATATATGTTCATCTCTATGAGTTTCATTTCTTTATTATTTTTAAACTTTATTTTTGGCTGGACATGGTGGCTGACGCCTGGAATCCCAGCACTTTGGGAGGCCAAGGTGGGCAGATCACCTGAGGTCATGAGTTTGAGACCAGCCTGGCCAATATAGTGAAATTACATCTCTATTAAAAATACAAAAATTAGGCCTGGCGCAGTGGCTCACGCCTGTAATGCCAGCACTTTGGAAGGCCGAGGTGGGCGGATTACCTGAGATCAGGAGTTCAAGACCAGCCTGGTCAACATGGTGAAACCCCGTCTCTACTAAAAATATAAAAATGGCCGGGCGCGGTGGCTCACGCCTATAATCCCAGCACTTTGGGAGGCCGAGGCAGGTGGATCACGAGGTCAAGAGATCAAGACCATCCTGGTCAACAAGGTGAAACCCCGTCTCTACTAAAAATACAAAAATTAGCTGGGCATGGTGGTGCGTGCCTATAGTCCCAGCTACTTGGGAGGTTGAGGCAGGAGAATTGCTTGAACCCAGGAGGCGGAGGTTGTGGTGAGCCGAGATCATGCCATTGCACTCTAGTCTGGGTTACAAGAGTGAAACTCCATCTCAAAATAAATAAATAAATAAAAATAAAAATTAGCTGGTCATGCTGGCATGCGCCTGTAATCCCAGCTAGTCAGGAGGCTGAGGCAGAAGAATAGCTTGAACCCGGGAAGCGGGGGCTACAGTGAGCCAAGATCACGCCACTACACTCCAGCCTGGGTGACAGAGCAAGATTTCATCTGAAAATATAATAAAAATAAAAATACAAACATTAGCAGGGCGTGGTAGCCCACTCCCGTAATCCCAGCTACTCTGGGGACTGAGACACGAGAATTGCTTGAACCTGGGAGGCAGAGGTTGCAGGGAGCCGAAATGGTGTCACTGCACTCTAGCCTGGGTGACAGAGTGAGATTTTGTCTCAAAAAAAAAAGGCCAGGCAGGCATGGTGGCTCACGTCTGTAATCCTAGCAATTTGGAAGGCCAAGGCAGGCAGATCACCTGAGGTCAGGAGTTTGAGACCAGCCTTGCCAACATGGCAAAACCCCATCTGTACTAAAAATAAAAAAATTAGCCAAGTACGGTGGCGCATGCCTATAATTTCAGCTACTTGGGAGGCTAAATAAGACAGGAGAATCACTTGAACCTAGGAAGCGGAGGTTACAGTGAGCCAAGATCGCGCCACTACACTCCAGCCTGGGTGACAGAGAAAGACTGTCTCAAAAAAAAATTTACATTTATGTTTCTTTATTTTTATTTTTTGAGACAGGGTCTTGCTCTGTCACCCAGGCTGGTGTGCAGTGGCGTGATCTTGGCTCATTGGCTCACTGCAACCTCCACCTACTGGGCTCAGGCAATCCCCTCACCTCTGCCTCTCAAGTAACTGGGACTATAGGGGCTCACCATCATGCTTGGTTAATTTTTGAATGTTTTTGTAGAGACAGGGTTTTGCCATGCTGCCCAGGCTGGTCTTGAATTCCTGGGCTCCAGCAATTTGTCTGCCTCAGCATCCCAAAGTGTTGGGATTACACAGGCGTTAACCACTGCACCTGACATATTTTAAAATTTTTGAGACAAGGTCTCACTCTGTCACCCAGGCTGGAATGCAGTGGTGTGATCATAGCTCACTGCACCCTTGACCTCCTGGGCTCAGTCAATCCTCCCCTCTTAGCCTCCAGAGTAGCTGGAACTACAGGCATCTGCCACTATGCCCAGCTAATTTTTAAATTTTTGTAGAGACGATCTAAGTATGTTGCCCAGGCTGGTCTCAAACTCCTGGGTTCAAGCGATCCTCTCGCCTCAGCCTCCCAAAGTGCTGGGATTACAGGCACGAGCCACAGCACGCAGCCTCAGTGAATTTTTAATCACTGTAGCCCACATAAAAATTACTTTGAATCACTTAAGAAATTTCAGTCAGATATTCTCAGAGAAATATTCTTCTTTGGTTTTCCATTGATTAAATTTGGTAGCAAGGAAAGTCTTCATTACTGCAGTGGTACAAAAGAGTAGGCACTACAGTTTTTATCCAATTACACAGAAAGGATAGGTTTAAATCCACCTCTTCAAACTGGTATATTTACCTACACACATAGATGATTCTATAATTTATTTGGAAGACTGTGCATTACTAAATTTTAGTAATAGTGACTTCCCTTGCCTATTACGTATTCGGTCTGTTTTCACATTAAGATAGTATACACCAAATTCTTTCGTTCCTCCTCCACCTATTAAATAGAAGACAGTGCGTGAAGCAGCTCTGTAAGAGATACATAAAATACAAATCTTACACTCAAGATGCATATTCTCTAATGTGGATTATAAAATAGAAACCTGAATAGTTAATACATTGCCAAGATGTCCAGATAAAATGTAAGAGGAATGGAAGAAACAGATTTCTTCTTCTGGAGTGAAAGGAGGAAGAGCCAACAGAGCTGGGCTCTGGAAGAGAAACAGGATTTAGATACGCTGAGATTAGGGAGGACTCAAAGTGCAGGGTCTAATGTGAGAAAGAGAAATAGCTCTGTTTGTCTCAAACTTAAGTGTACACAGAGAAGTGTGCGTGTAAAAAGTCTGGACAGAGAGAGTTGGAGCCTGTTAATGACAAGTGAAAGAATAACATGTTATAAAGTTGCCAAATTATAAAGAAGACCTATCAATATTTTTGGAAAAGCTAAACCAAGGTAAAAATTATGTAAATTAATGTAATAGTTAAAAAAAAAAACATCTTTTGGATTGTTTTCCTTCTACAGTCTGAGCAACTGTGGGGTGAATACACTGCTACTTCCCTCTGCAGACACCTTCTTCTATAGGGGCTCTAGGACCAAAGTAACAACATTATACAAAGGTATCAGCAACACTGTTTAAACGTCAGAAAATTCCTATACTGCTTGTATTCATGTAAGTTTAAAAAAAAAGTCAACTCAAACAAGAAAATTAGTTTTAGAGTGGTTTAATTCTATGTATTGGAGGGCTATGCTCAATTCCAATGAATCAAATGCCATATCATTCAGTGGATGCAAAGAGCTGTTATTAGGTTGAACCATATAAAACTGGGAATATTCGACTATATTTGACATGTAAGATCAACAATTTCATATGCTTCAACCTAGTAACAATAACTAAACTGAGGATGACTTAATCATCATTTTGAGTCAATTTTCACCTTTGATTCTACACTGGTTGAGGGAAAGGTGAACAAGAGATTTATTAAATGTGACAAAATGCAGTTTGGTTGCTGAGTCATGCTCTAATTTATAGGCCAGAAAAAAGCTGGCGGGAAAGAGAAAGATGAAAAAAGAAATGGAACAGAAGAGGAGGCAAAACAATAAAAAGAACCCAAAGGGAAAACAAGATATCATGGGGCAGCTGTTCCCGTTAAAAGAAAGAATTTTTTTAAGTGTTGTTTTAGACTTTTATCACTGTGAATATGGAGAACAGATGTAATTTCTTTCCACACATACAAATAAATAGGCCAGTTACACGGTTAAAACACTAACATAATAGACTAATATTTAATGAGTGCTTAATCTGTGGTTATTAGGAACTTTACAAATGTTTTCATGAAGTATGAATAATAACATATAGTTGGTGGTTTCACACCCATTTCTATTGCTCTCATTCAGGGCTACGACAGCTAATAAGGAAGGAGTGAAGATGTGAAGCCAGCTCTGACTCTGAAGCCTGTGCCTTTCCTATCTCATCCTAGTGTATACAGTGCAACTCTACTGTCATCCAAGAAGTATTTTAAAACGTTTTTGAATGCTTGTCATTTAAATCTGGAAGTCTATAATAATGTATTTCACACTGTACGATTTAAGTGTGTTATCGCCAAGCAAAGAAAATTTAGCATAAAAAGGAATAGGGGAGGCATTTTATATTCTGAAAAGCACAATAATGTGCATTAGATTTCAAGCAAAAACATTTTAAAGATAATTTGAAATTCAATTCAGTAAGTATTTGATGTTTCTTTTGTGATGCAAAGAACGAGTCGTATAAAATTTCAGTCCCATAATTATCTGGTTAGAGACAGAGGTCAAAGTGGTGAAGATTTACCATTAATCAATGGAACTGAAAATAGGCAAGTACCCACCATTTTCACATGTACAGCAGACTCCTGATTAGTCATTTCTTGGTTATCCAATCTTCTGGATTTTCCCAGGTGATATCACAGCAAAAGAGAAAAAAAAAGTACACGTGACATACATAAATTTCAGGTTCTTCCTGTTAGCTAATAATATGCTACGGTGGTGTTTTTGGCATGACTTAGTTTGTTTGTTTGTTTTACGTATGAAGAACTAACATAGTTTCTTTCACTGGGTGGATGCCTTGGATATTCCCATTCAAGGAAGATCACTTAGTCCAACTCCATGAAACCTATGTCCTTTGCGTACTGACGGAAACACTGTCGGCACATACTGAGGCTGTGTTTCCGGATAAGACCATGCTGGTTTGGGCAGATGTGACAAGAGTGAGAATCTTGGCCCAACTTTGTGGGTGGCTCCAGTAGGGCTGCTGACCTATCTTGCTTTCAGGAGTGCAATGAGGCAAAAAACTTTGTTATGATTTAAATACCAAATTTTCACAAGCATCTTTTTTTTTCCTAAGAAGCTTAGCAAGGGTTTTACTCTATCTAGTGTAATTTTGCATTAAACATTTTGTATGAAGAATCTGAAGGTCTCCTCTAAGAACTTATATGGTATTAAGAAAATTGAATAAACAGTGAAAATAAAGTACATATTTACAAAATGCACTTTATTACAAGAATATTTTATCAACATTTTCTCTACATGTAAGGATGCAGTTTGTGGGAAAATTATGCATTGTTCCTATTGAATCAGTACAGTAAGAGAAATATAACAAAAGTTCAAATTTTCCTTCAATTTACTTATATTAAACTCTAATTTTTTAATGTGATATGACTAAGATCTAAGCCATATTTGAATCGAGCATTGTGTCTATCACAAAATGGGCATGTGACAGTGTGTATCAACTGAATGAACCTTTTAGGGTCTGGGTCAAGTTTAAACGCAGCTGTTCCTCAAACAAAAAGAACCAGGTTTAAAAACATCCCTCGTCATCATTCTAAAGTGTTGTTGTTGTTGTTTTGGCAGTATGAATCTTAGGGAAAATTACTAACCTATTTTTGTTTGATAATGGCTTTATTTTTACTTTATTTCAGGTAAGTAAAATTTTATAATCAAAGCACTATTTAAAAATGGCAACTTAGTTGAAGGGGAGAAAATATGTCTTTTTCTTAAATTCTAGTAATAGAAGTTGGACATTAGATCTGTGTTCTTTATAATTAAAAGGTGGTATAGCAGATATATCAAATTTTCTGAAATTCTAAAATTCAGCCCCTACCCCCTTCAAGTCCATGAAATTATTAAATGTCTTTTTCTCCCTCTCAGAAAGGCTGCTAGTAAGTTGATAGTCTCATAATTGATGGGATCTTAGAGTAAACACTATTTCCAAATAGTACAATAACTTGTAATTTTTCACATCTGAAAAAGAAAGCATCTGCAGTATGTGTCTATACATCGATACAAAGATGTATGTTTATTCAGATACACACACACACACACACACACACACACTATATATATATAACCCATAAAACATTTGATTGCCACCCTCAAAATCTAATAGTAGTTTGGGGGTTAGTAGTCTCTAGCTTCGATGTTTATAATTAAGTTTAAGTAAACTTTCCTTGGTCTAACTTCTTTCTGTCAGTCATCTATTTTTAACAAACAAGCTGTTATAGAAGCTCATGCAAGTCTATTTCTTCATTCACAGCAATCAAAGCCTAATTATTAAATGCTTACAGCTTTTCTTTGATGTTTAATATCTGAAAAGTGGTCAAGATTTCTCAAAGGGCACTATTTAAATAAAACCATTTTATTAGCTTGAAAAAAAGGAAGAGTGTGGAGGCTGTGGAAAAGTACTGCAGACAGAGTTCATAAAAATACCACATAATCCGTGAAACATTTGAAAAGCCCAAAGGCAAACAATTCGCACAGTGAAGAATTAAGCACATTTTAACATCTAGGAATCCAAGACCTTTTTGTTACACAGTCAGGTAGTAGAATTCCTCTTTAGTCTCTACCTCTGGAGTATGGCTCCTTTCAGGACATACATTTTGAGTTTAAATGAGAAAAAGCCAGTATAAGATGGTAAAAGAATAATCATCTTTCTCATGGTCTCATCAAATAAAAACAAAGAGTGATCAGAAGTTTGACTGCCAACTTTAGGACCTCTTTTTCTTTTTTTTGGTAAGTACATTGACAATTCATGAATACTACGAAAATTTCAGCTGAAGATCTTTCATTCTTCCCAGTCCTCACTAGTAATCTGACCGGAATTTATTTTCATGCAAAGATAATCTCACATAAAGTGATACTGCAGTCCTTATACAAAAATCACTCTAAGGTCTGTATCATTTATAAAGTGTAAAGACTAAGGTATAAAATGTCAGCATTCTGGCACTATTCTAAGGAAGACATTGAAAATTAGGGCAGAGTATTTTTAAACCAATAGGCTTGTAAACCTATACCTGGTATATAAAGTTCTGGCTGACTTTGCCAATGGTCATCTGTTGCAGATGCTTCAAGAGAAGAGTTGCTGGAAAACACACATCAAGTGTAGAAGACATGTTCAAAAATAGAAAATACTGCTCTTGAACTATGAACTCTCTTCAAAAGAAGTTTTAACATTTTAAGTCTTCAGAGCCTTTAAATGTGAACTGGAAAATGTGGAAACTGGAAAATAATTACTCTGTGTGCTTTTTATATGAGATTAAGGTCTCTGCTATAGCAGAGTTCTTTACAAGGAATATGTAGGACAAGGCTAAAGACTGAGACAAGAGGTAAGAACTTCACTTAACACAAACTCAGTAACTGAAAACTTTAGTTATCATGGCGTTTCATTCTGATGATCGCTCACAAGTCAGTTAATGAAAACTGGTATGTCTGCATGAAAAAACTTACCCGATTTAAAGCAAGTCTTCAAGTATCTGAATGCAAACTGATTACTTTTATTTGTGTGTGTGTGTGTCTATAGACACACTGGGGCTTTCATTTCTATGGTGTAGAGTCCCAGGAGGGAGATTCTGGGTTGAACTGCATGTGCATTTAGATTTTTTAAAAATTTTAAAATATATTTTATTGCACTTTAGGTTCTGGGGTACATGTGCAGAACATGCAGGATTGTTGCATAGGTACATACATGGCAATGTGGTTTGCTGCCTCCATCTCCCTGTCACCTATATCTGGCATTTCTCCCCACGTTATCCCTCCCCAACCTCTCTACCCACGGCGGTCCCTCCCCTACTCCCTCGCAACAGGCCCCAGTGTGTGATGCTCCCCTCCCTGTATCCATGTGTTGTCATTGTTCAACACCTGCCTAGGAGTGAGAACATGTGGTGGCAAACTGACCACTTTTAAAGGTCTACTTGACTGTCTTACAGGAAAGTGAAAAAGATTAAATTTGGTAATTAGCTTTGAAAATTGTGACTGTTTTGATTGTGATGCTCACAGAAACATGTAAACTACATTGATAAGGTAATAAAATTGTGAATGGCACAGTATATATTACATAAGAAAAAACATGTATTATTATAATATGAACAGAGTATCGGCAACAGTACCAAACATCCATGGTGAATCAATTTTTCCGGCACTTTTTCAGCGACCTGTACTATTTATCTTTCTTAAGCTTGGGTTTTTTTTTTTTTTTAAATGTTACTTTCTTAGGGTACATGCAAAATCAAATTACATGTTCATCATTTCTGTATGGTTGTAATAATTTTGGGGGCATTTAAAGAATTCTCCCTAATTAGGTTTTTAACTCAGCAGTGGGGGAAAAAAACACACACAAACTGCAAAGTGAAACTTTTCTCGATACAGGCATAAAACAAAAATGAAACTGAATAGCAAGGGATGAGAGGGAAAGAAGAGGAAATAGGTGAAAGAGGAAAAAACAGATTTCAAAAGGTAGTTATTTAAAACTGGGCAATTGTAACCGATTTTCCTAAATGGTAAGGCAGCTATGGAGTCAGAATTCTGTGGATATTTATGCAAATAAACAACTTCAGTGTTCAGAGTTTATTCCTCTATCCTTCCCCCCCCCCCACTGCCTCCAATATCTAATAGCATTTTTCAAGATAAGCAAGCCACACACAGCACATGAAAACTAATGACAACCCTTAAGGCACTCTGAGTTCTTCTGTCCTTGAGTTTGTCCTAGAACAACAGCAGAGTTGACAATATCCAGCGATGCCAGGCTTGGATGCAGGCTGCCAATTAAAACCAAGCAAACTGCTTTAAGAAACGCTCTGCTGAATGATCTACTTTCTCTTAAAGGAAAAAAAAAAAATGCAGAGAATTCAATTATTTAAATATAACTTAGCCATAATATTCTAGGATTTTACTGTAATACACATTTTTGAATCTTAATTTTCAATATATAATTTGTTATAAATCAGTAATCTAGCTTTTATCAGTTGACAAAACATACCGGTGATAATCCCATTCTATAAAATCCTGGGTAAAGCTCACACGCACAAAATAAAAATTGATAATCTTTATTACTACTCATAATAAACTGTTCCTAATCCTAGTAACAAAAAGCCTGTGGCTGTCAGTAAAACTGAGTCACATAGCAACTGAAGGAACAACATAACTGAATCTTATAGTGTTTCCCCTCAACCTGGAAAGAGACTTCTGAAGGTACTTTGTTTTTTCTTAACATCTACATGTAAAACAAGCAGCTCTTAAAATTAATACACATAAAATATTATTTCTGAGACCTAAGACTCTTCAAAGTTTTGCATATTCGTGTCTTCACAAATTATAAAGAAGTTTGCATTATACTGGATCATTCTTTCATTTCCTAAGTTTGTATTTTAAAATGCCCAAAATTTCAATAAGATATAGAATCAAATAAGAATCATACAAAGTTAGACAAGAGAAACTCATTGACATGAACTGTACACACTTACCCTGAAGATAACCAGACGAGCTTCACCAGCAAAAGAAAATTCTTCCTGTCTGAGAAGCACTAATATAGCATAAGGTGCAGCTGAGGGCGGTTCCAAAAGCCTCGACTAAGCCGTATGCAAAACCCTTGTGACGCACTGCTGCACAGCACTTTCTACACGCTCTTGGGCACAGCCTCCTGGCTCCGAGCTAGTCACCAGTCAGTCGGGATAACATTATCAACTGAAGTTACGTGGTGGTTAAGAGAAGGTAAATCTGTACTATGAGAACTAGGAACTGGTTCTGGAAAGAAAAGAGGAACCTCTACACTAACACTTACAAACATTCCCTTCCTCGTGGTTTCTCAGTGGTTTGTCAGTGTATTTCTGATACGTGAACTTTTCTGTATATTCTATTTTGATACAAAGTAAAAAGGGCCGGAGGAGGAGGATGGAGAATTATTGCTCAACAGATAAAGTTTCAGTTTTAAAAGATGAAAAGAGTTCTGGAGCGGACAGTGGCTATGGTTGCACAGCAGTGTACATGTACTTAATGTTACCAAATTAAATGCTTAAAAATGGTTAAAATGGCACATATATATTATGCATGTTTTACCACAATATTAAAAAAAGATTAGTTCACTTAAAGTCCATGAATAAAAAGACATGATATATGCAAATGTAGTCAACAGAATGTTAATAGTCTTTATCAAAGGGCAGTGAGATTTAAAGTAATTTTTATATTTTCCTATACTTTGAAGAAATAAGACCAGCCATAAAACCTGAAAACAAAGATTTCTATTTTTAAGAATTTGGGGAAAAAGTTTCTTCCTGTTAAAAATAAGAGCAGTCCAATTGCAGTGAAGAAAATATTTTTATTTTTTTTAAAGAGAATTAATCTTGCTTTTAACCTGAACACTAGGGTGGCAATATGCTAATGCCATGTGTCAGGACCTGATAGATAAGTTATGCCATGGGCTCTGGGAAACTTTATCATTAGGAACATGGCTAGGCAACACTTAGGTAAATACATTTTTATTATCAGCTTTCCCTCTACTGTCCTCAGACGAATCTAGTTTAGGTAATACTTCAGTAATCAAATTTTGTGAAGTATTGTTCTCTACTAAAAACAACATGAACGAATGTTAAAATTGCTGTTAAAAAACTATCCAGGCTGGGCGCAGTGGCTCAAGAAAGTAACAAGGACACAAGCAAAGCACTGAATCAAAGACACTGAATTTCGTTTCTAATAGCTCTAGAGGACTTAAAAATTGTTTTTTTGAGAAGGGATACAAAGGATAGGGAAGTACAAAGTTGTAAAGGCAGGCTCTTTAACAGCACAATGGACTTTCATCTCTGTACACAATAACTGGGCCCTGTTGCCTTGGAGTTTTCTTTACTCATTGACATAGAAACGGAAACCACTCCTATCACGCCTAGTGGCAAACTCTAGATCTGAAATTCATATGCCAAAGAGCAGAGCACTTGTAGAGAATTCAAATCTTTGGAAGATTGTTTTTCCTCCCCTTTTAACACTGAAACTGGATGTCTTTACCAATGGAGAAAGAGATATCCATTTGTATTTCTGAGTAACTAGTTAAGAGCTTTTTAGATAGTCAATTATTCAATCAACTTGAAAAACTAAAAATTATCACTTCATATTTTGCCATCAAAAGATTTCTTAGAAATTCAAATAATGAAAAAACAAAAAGCCCACAGAAAATCAAATATATGAATTTAAGCTTTAATAACTTATTGTCTTTAATACTGAGACAGGGAAGTAAAGAAAACAAAGGTATTACATTAATTAAAAGTTACATGTAAAAGAAAGCACATCACAATCCCGCATAAAACCTGTAGCAAGTATAGTTATTTCTCAACAATACAATCTAGACTTACCGACTAACTCATAGTTGGGCGACTATAATCCAATTACCATTCCAACAAGGAATGTATTTTTAAACTTAAATTGGATGACACCCTAGGAAGTTATTCCAAGCTAAACAATGAAGCCACCATATAAGGAAGACAATTTAATAGGAGATGAGATGCAACAGTCAATATACTGACTCTTGCGAAACCTGTTCTTGCTAATTGCTGCATGATGTAAATAGAAAGATGATCTTTTTAAACATGCAAAACATCAGTCTAGGTATGTGACTTCTCTTCACACTTCCCTGAAGACAACAGTGAACTGATTTCAATATTACGACTATTCAAAATAGAAATGAAACAAGGTACTATAAATGTTGATATGAATATGGCTTAAAATGTATAAGGAGCAGAAAACAGAGATGAAACAATGATTTATTACATTTTTTGAAAATGAATGGCAAATGAAAATTTTCTTTTTTTAAAATTAAAATTTTTTTTAAAAAACATAGAGACTTGGCCAGGCATGGGGGCTCACGCCTGTAATCCCAGCACTTTGGGAGGCTGAGGCAGGCAGATCATGACGTCAGGAGTTCGAGACCAGCCTGGCCAACATGGCAAAACCCTGACTCTATTGAAAATACAAAAATTTATCCAGGTGTGGTGGTCCATGCCTATAATCCCAGCTATTTGGGAGGGTGAAGCAGGAGAATTGCTTGAGTGCAGGAGGTGGAGGTTGCAGTGACCTGGGATCTCGCCACTGCAATCCAGCCTGGGCGACAGTGTAAGACTCTGTCTCAAAAGAAAACAGACAGACAAACAAACAAAAACCCCACCGAGACAGGGTCTCATTATGTTGCCCAGGCTGCAGTACAGTGGCTATTCATACGTGTGACTCCAGCACTGATGAGCTTAGGAGTTTTGACCTGCTCTGTTTCCAACCAAGGCTACTTCACCCCTCAGGCAACTTGGTACTCCCCCACTCCCAGGAGCTTCCTATATTGATGATGAATTTAGTGCAGACACTTGATTGGCATAGTGCACTAAAGCCTGGAACTCCTGGGTTCAAGTGATCTTCCCACCTCAACCTCCCAAGGACTATAGGCACTAGGCCAGCACGCCCAACCTCATGTTTTTTATCATTTAAGATCACTGCAAAAACTTATCCTAGTAGCTGACTATGAGTGAGACTGACTGCAGCACTATGAATTTACAGACATTTGTATATGCAAACTGAGGAGAACATATGGTTCCCATCTCAATGTATTTCTTTTTTTTTGCCAATCAGTTTGAGCTTATGAGGTTGCTCAGGTTAGCCTTGAACTGATGACCTCGCCTTCACGAGTGCCATGACCTCCGGCGGGAGCCACTTTGGACCCCGAATGTATTTCTTAAACTTTGCAAAAATCTAGGCCGGGGGCTGTGGCTCATGTCTGTAATCCCAGCACCTTGAGAGGTTGAAGCAGGAGGATTTCTTGACTCTGGAGTTCGAGGCTAGCCTGGGTAACATAGGAAGATCATGTCTCTACAAAAAATGTTGAAAAATCAGCCAACTGTGGTGGCATGTGCCTGTACCACCAACTACTCAGGAGGCTGAGGTGGGAGGATCACTTCAGCCCAGGAGGTAGAGGCTGAAGTGCAATCACGCCACTGTACTCCAGCCTGTGTGACAGAGGGAGGCGGTCTCAAAAAAAAAATAAATAAAAAAGTTGCAAATATAGTAACCTAATTTTCAAAAACTCAAGTGAAATTGTTGAACATCAACTATATCATTTTTACTTTCTTACTTAAAAAGCATTAAATTCTGCTTTAAACTTTTAGTGGAAATGACATTTATGTTTCAATAGGTAGTCAGATTCAAGAAAATAGGATATAACACAATAACATAAATGAAGGGAGTCTTTCCTAGCTCTCCTTTCAAATGCCATATGTTTGAATATTTCAAGATGCTTAGCACTGACTATTTTTTTTTTTTTGAGACAAAGTCTTGCTCTGTCACCCAGGCTGGAGTGCAGTGGTACCATCTCGGCTCACTGCAACCTCTGCCTCCTGTGTTCAAACACTTCTCCTGCCTCAGCCTCCAGAATAGCTGGGACCACTGGTGCACGTGGCCTCACCCTGCTTTGTTTTGTTTTGTTTTATAAACAGTCGGGTCTTGCTATGGGTTGTAGCAGGCTGGTCTTAAACTCCTGGGCTCAAGCAATCCTCCCACCTTAGCCTCCCAAATGTTTTTATTGTATTATAGTTGAATCTCTATGCCAGAAATGGAAAAAGATGAAAAGTTTTCTGTTTTAATTTTGGACTCCTACATTTCACAGTTGATATTCTTGCCCTTCAAAAGAAACAAACAATATTGTTTAAGATCACTATTTTGTTATACATTATATTAAAAATGGCAGAAAGGTAATGCATTTTTTATTTTTTGAGACGGAGTTTCACTTTTGTTACCCAGGCTGGAGTGCAATGGCATGATCTCGGCTCACCACAACCTCCGCCTCCTGGGTTCAGGCAATTCTCCTGCCTCAGCCTCTCGAGTAGCTGGGATTACAGGCATGCGCCACTGTGCCCAGCTAATTTTTTGTATTTTTAGTAGAGACGGGATTTCACCATGTTGACCAAGATGGTCTCAATCTCTTGACCTCATTATCCACCCGCCTCGGCCTCCCAAAGTGCTGGGATTACAGGTGTGAGCCACCGCGCCCGGCTGGTAATGCATTTTAAGCTTTTATTATTAGTGCACTATATCGAGTCCATCTAAATGAAGGGTAAAAAGTGAGATTTAACTTACTACCCTCCCTTCTTACTGAGCCACATAAACACATTAAGGCAAGAGAGTAAAAAAAAATATTTTGCAAAATATAGCCCTTTCAAAACTTACTTAAATATTAATAAACTCAATATAGTAAACTATGCTAGAACCAATTTTGAAATAAGTAAAAAAAGAAAAAATATATAGTAAATCAAAGTACTTAGTTTAACCTGAGAAAAGTTTTGATAACATATATTAATTACATTCAACAATATGGGGGTTAATAGACATCCTAAATATCATGCCATTTTATCCTTACACATTCAATGCACATTCTGTGCACGTATCAAAATATCACATGTATGCCATAAATACGTACAAATACTCTGTATCAATTAAAGAGATTTTAAAATAAAGTTATGATGTCCATGTGATATAACAGCTTAAATATAATATAGTCACGAAAATATAAGTATAAATTAATGAATAAGTTAAGTAAATAATCTTGATTTAAAACATTACAGAATAACTTCATTTGGGTAAAAAAACTATACTTAATAATTATATGCATAGAAAAAGGAAGTACATTTACTAAAATAGGAGTTTTTTAAGGTGGTGAAATTATAGATTTCTTTTGCTCATCTAGATTCACTAACTTTTATATCAATGTGTATTATATGATATAAAAAGAGAAACAATACAAATAGAATAGAATAAATAAATTAGTTCTTTTTTTATTTGAGACACAGTCTCACTTTGTCAACCAGAATGGAGTGCAGTGGCACAATCTCAGCTCACCAGCCTCAACCTCCTAGGCTCCAGTGATCCTCCTGCCTCAGCTTCCCGAGTAGCTGGGATTACAGGCATGCATCACCACACCTGGCTTTTTATATGCGTGTGTGTGTGTGTGTGTGTATTTTACTTTCTTAAATAGGATTAAATTCTGTATTTAAGCTTTTAGAGGAAATGACATTTATGTTGCAATAGGTAGGTCAGGTTAAAGAAAACAGGATGTAAGGCAATACCATAAATGGAGTCTTCATTTATGGTATTGATATATTTG